TCACCTGTCTGTCTCCCACCTGTCTCTCACCTGTCTCCCACCTGTCTGTCTCTCACCTGTCTCCCACATGTCTGTCTCTCACCTGTCTCTCACCTGTCTGTCTCCCACTTGTCTCCCACATGTCTGTCTCTCACCTGTTTCCCACCTGTCTCTCACCTGTCTCTCACCTGTCTCCAGTGGAAGAGTGGTCCAGTGGTCCAGGTGGGCTGGACGGTGAGTGATGAGCTGCTATTGGTTCAGGAGGACGGATCGGTTCTGACCTACGACGTCTTCGGGACCTTCAAGAGACACTTCAGCATGGGACAGGTAACTAGTCCTTAACAAGTCTTTAACGAGCCCTTAATGTGTCCTTAACGAGCCATTACCTTCCGCAGGAAGTGGACCGGTCAGAGCATCCAGTCCATCCCCAAAATAAACACATTTTGTAGACCCTATCCCTCCGTAGTCTTTCAAGTAGGAGGCGTTCTCCTCCGGTTTGCAGGCACTCGGCCCGTCCACACACAGGCATGAAAAAAATCTTTCAAAGCTTCACTTGAATGGGGTGATGTAGAAGATTTTTAATCTTTGCCAAACTGCATTGTGGGGAGCGGAGCATGGCTTTGCAAGCATCGTGAGCATCAAAAGTTGAGCAATGTTCAACTTTTGATGCTCCCGATGCTTGCGAAGCTGGCATCAGCCAATCAAATCCTGTTTATGCAAATCCCGCCAGTACAAGCGCAGCCAATCAAACCGCGTGCAAGCTGGGAGAGCCAGACCGCAGTTCATTTCCTCATATTCCAAACGAGATATTACGGTAGCAAATCACCCGGTTCTTTACGACCAGAACTATTTACCGGGATACAAACCGGAGGAACCAGGCATGGAGGGAGGTGGCAGAGACAGTGGGTGAAACTGGTAGGTTTTCGCCTGTTTGGAGAGTTTATATCCAGTTTACTTCGTTTTAACATTGCTATTGCTTGTATGTCGGGGGCGGGAGATTCATGTGATTGGTTGTTGGTCGCGTTGCTCGCAAAAAATCGCCAAGCTTCAGACACGCCCAGCTTCAAGATTTTTTGATGCCTGTAGTGTAGACGGGCCGTAATGGCTTCTCATGGAAAATGTATCGAGCAAAATAACAGGAGAATTGAAGGGGGTCTCCCGTTACTTCCTGGCGTATTCATTTCTATCCATCACATTTCTATAACCAAACTTCTCCCTTCTCTCTAGGAGCTGACTCCTGACTACTCCATGGAGAGCCACCAGCGAGACCATGAGAACTTCCTTGTAGTTTCTCGCACCAGACGGAGACGGGCTAAGGCTCTGCTGGACTTCGAGAGACACGACGACGACGAGCTGGGGTTCAGGAAGAATGACATCATCACTGTGAGTCATGCCCTGCTCGATGACTCACAGAAACCAAAAAAAAAGCTTTCTGTGGTTTCTAACCTTTCGCTCTGAATCTGATACAGCTGTACTTTCCATCTTTCCCCTTCAGATCATCTCGCAGAAGGATGAACACTGTTGGGTTGGAGAGCTAAATGGCCTAAGAGGTGTTTGGGTTTTTTCTTAAGCATCAGCACCGTGTTGAATCTCTTTGTTTCTATATACTGTTACAGCTTATTGACATTTTTCTATTGCATTATGTCACAGGTTGGTTTCCAGCGAAGTTTGTGGAGATCCTAGATGAAAGAAGCAAAGAGGTATGGAATCAGTTAATTACCCGCTTAATGAGAAAGGATGTTTTTATGCTTACTTTTAGACGAGTATTTTAATGTTAACTCCATGTTGTTCCTTCCTTCTGCTCACCTTCAGTATCCTAAAAATTATTATCCGATTTTTGCTCTTTGTGTCTGTCCTCAGTACTCATTAGCAGGCGATGACTCTGTGACGGAGGCAGTGACGGACCTGGCCCGGGGGACACTGTGTCCGGCCCTGAAGGCCATCTTTCAGCACGGGCTCAAGAAGACATCTCTACTGGGAGGGCCCTGTCATCCTTGGTTATTCGTTGAAGAGGTAGGAGATTAATATTTTCTTTTTAATATTGCAGATGTATCAAACTCACCATTGGACTAATCCCTTTCTCTTTTCTCTCAGGCGGCCAGTAGAGAGGTAGAGAAAGACTTTAACTCTGTCTACTCCAGACTGGTGCTGTGTAAAACCTACAGGTAAAACCCTTATTTTTAAATAAACATTCAAGAGAAATGATTGCCACGAAATGATAATTTGATCAATTACATAACCCCTGTTACCTTGAAAATACAATCTCTCGCTCAAAAAGCTTGGATAGAAACCCAACCGGTTTAAAACCAAACAAACTTGGGATCTAACCCTTTACCTTCAGTTGGAACTAAAGTGTGCTCTGGCAATGGCAAGTGGAATCGGCTTTCAGTGTGTATGCCTGAAGCATAATAAGATAACGACTTGTTCTCTGCCGTATTTACCAGGTTAGACGAAGATGGGAAAGTACTCACACCAGAGGAGCTGCTGTACAGGGTGAGTGTCCTTAACTCAATGTGTAACATCTGCAATTGAGTTTTCTTCAGCTTAATGTGCAGCTTGCCTCTAGGAATGCATGTTAGTAGAAAGTGATTGAGCGCCCTCTGTCTGCTCCTCCCAGGCGGTGCAGTCGGTCAACATGAGCCACGACAGCGCACACGCTCAGATGGATGTCAAGTTTAGGTCTCTGGTCTGCGTCGGCTTGAAGTGAGTTCTCGGGAGAACCGCACACACATACACACACATATGCATGCCTTCAAAATATGCTGTTAACAACACACACACACACACTGGGGCTGTTTGGTTCTTAACGGTTATCTTCTCCATCAGTGAGCAGGTGCTCCACCTGTGGCTGGAGGTGCTGTGCTCCAGCATGGCCGCTGTAGAGAAATGGTATCATCCATGGTCCTTCCTCCGTAGTCCTGGATGGGTACAGATCAAGTGTGAGCTCAGGTAAGAAACACCTGTTTTGATCTCAGATTAGAGCTTATTTCAAGTCAAAGTTGTTGCAGTGGAAAATTCAAGCAAGCGAAAAAGCAGGAATGGCTAAATAGGATAAACCACTGGCAAACGTATTACTCCATTTCCAAAGCTTGCTTGCAATTATAAGTACTTAATACTCCACTACAGTATATTCCACATGTACCGCACATAATCCAGCGGTTTAAACATATTAGTTTATACCCCAGAAGGACTTTAAACAACAAAAAATGAAATTGTGTAAAAATATGGATACATTATTTGTCCAAAAAACCAAACAATAAGCAGTCTACCATTGTTGTCTCCACAGAGTGCTTTCAAAGTTTGCCTTCAGCCTCTCCCAGGATTGTGAGCTACCTGACAAGAAAGAGGTGAGCCCAGCACTTTATTTAATTTCTTTGTTGTGGTTGTATACTTTATTGATTCTTTATATTTTAAATATTTATTTCAAATCTTTGAATATTCTTGAAAAATCTAAATGTATTACTTTTGCTTTTATGTCTTTCCCAGGAGAATGAGCAGAGACCCCTGAAGGAGGGAGTGCAGGACATGTTGGTGAAACATCATCTCTTCAGCTGGGACATCGATGGCTAGACACACACAGAAAACACTCGTCTGAATCCTACTGCGTCCTCCTGTCTGTGTTTATGTGATGTCTCCTTATCTGTCACTTACAGACTGTCAATTATAATTAACAGGAAGTGACTGCTTCAACGCTCACGTCACTGTTCAGCCAGTTCTGAAGCATGTGTGCATTCAAGTGCATACTTTATTTTACTTCTGTAGGAGATTGCACTACATGGTGAAAAACGATATATACTGGTAAAACACTGCAGTGCAGACGAGTCTGTACCCATGAAACTGGAGCTCTCGTGTGTCCAGTACGTATAAAACTCCCTGCTGGACATTCAGCTTTCATAGCTGTGTGCAGGAGTGAGCGTTCACTCTCTTTCATTAGTTGCTACAACAGCAGCGGGTCATCGCCACGAGAAACCCTGGACCTTTAACACGGTATTAAATGCCACATTAACCTTTAAATACCCAGATATTAAGACCAAAACATTCCTAAATATGGAGCTGTAAAGTTACAAATTATTTTTGAGAGGGATGTTAGTTACCTCAAATATCATGAACTCTACAAAATATTTCATTAACTACTAAATGTTGCACATGCCAAGTAAAGCCTTTTCAAATAGTTATACAAGATTATGCCTGTATGTGTGCTACCTTATCAGTGGTAGTGAAGTCTGCACTCGTATGACAAAAATGTAAATGAGGCGGATAAATACTTTTTTGTGCTACAATCTATAAATAAATGTTAAATAGCCTATACAGTAATTTGTTATGTTTTTGTATATACGTGAATATATATTTTGCTTGTGACGAAATGTGCCCTTGCGAGTTTATCATTCTTACTTACTGATTACCTTTAGTTCTGACTTAACTGCACATACATCAGGAAACAGGGACATTTTTGGGAATGTATTTATTCAAACTGTTGAGCGTTCATGATGTTCCACTGTATGAGGGGACTGGAGAATTATGATGTACTAATTCAAGTTGCAAAACATTTTCCTTTGCATCATACAAAGGATGTTGGATTTACATGAACTGTCTCTTCCCCATGTGCAGAACATTCAATGAGCTTGGCGTTTTGTGATCAGTCATTGTAGCTTGTGTAAAACATATTGTCAACAATTACAAATGTAATATTGTCTGGGTCTGTAAAATATGGAACTGAGGACTGCACAGCTCTCCTCTTAATATTGAAGAAGACTAAGACCAATCCATCCTTATTTTTTCACTTTAACAAATCAAATCCATAGTATTAAAATTGTATAATATATATTTTGCTGAAAATGGACATAGAAAAAGCCACACTGTTGAAGGTTCAGTAAAGCCTGTTTATTGATGGTCAGTTTTTTAGAGTGTATTTAAAATGTCACATGTAAACAGCGACAGGCCATAACGCATGGGGTACTGGAGTAGCACTGCGAGTACTGCATGTCTTATAATCATGAGGAGTGACAGGACGATGTGCTGTATTTGTTTGTACTAACACTATTTGTATAACGTTTCTAACGTGGCTGACTGACAGTGGAAGTATGATGGATTCTGCTGAATCTGAGGAGTGCAAGTGAGAGCAGAATGAAGACCATCAGAGCGAGCTTTCTGCATGTATGCCAAATAAATACCTGACAATTATAAAACGCTAACAGCTTATATTTTCAATATATCTGGAGATAAAACCCTATGTGCCCTCTGCTACATTCATTTCTGATTTGCATACATTTTGTACAATTCCATCTTTCCAATTGGAGCACAACTACAAGCTCATTTACATATGCAGTATAAATAGTACATTCATTGTTTTTCATTGCAAATACACACGGAATGCACGGAGGAGTTTCACGTATAGCTGCTCATGCCGATGCTGGAACTGTTCAGGGGTTTGGCCTCCTTCCCTTGCCATTGACATCGAGCCAGAAAAATAAATTGTCAATTTCATAGAGGCATAAACGATGGGTTAAATGAAATCAAACATCCTGAGTGAGGCTTACCTCAAAAACCACACTGCTATCAATCACCCAAACTCGTTAAAGAAAAGCAAAGGCAGCTGATGATAAAATGCATTTAGGGACACACCCCACTGTGTACCCTTTCTAAACTATGACCTGGTGTCAAGAGGCAAGGAGTGATGAGACTGAGGAGTGTCTCGCTCCAAACGTCATGGTTTGTGGAATGAAGACACTAGGTGGTGGAGGGATATTTTAGAGGGAGGTTTGGGGGGGTCAATTCAGGAGCCTCCTGTTCCTGACGAGGAGGGGGCTGCTGTGTTGTTGCTGCTGCTGCTGCTGCTGTTCTGGCCTTTTCCTTTGTGCCTCTGGCCGCCCCTTCTCCTGCCACCTCCTCCAGACTTTGGCTGCAAGGGAGAGATAAGGAGAACACTCGATAAGGCACCTCCATGTTATTTACTCACAATGTATCAAGATCACCCGGCTATGAACTCAACTATCTTGCTTTAGTCAAAACACAACCTCCACCAGTGTTCTTGTTTTAGTTTGAATCGACCTATGTTACCTTGTTCTCTTTGTTGCCCTCCTTTATCTGAGGGTCTTCATCCCCCTCTCCCTTTGGAAGCCAGCCACGCAAGCAAAGTGGGGTTGGGTGGGTTAAAAATAATAGTGATGAAGTAATGAGTGAGCGTGAGTGGTGGATAAGATAAAGCAAGAACATAACCAAAAGGAAGGAGGACACAATGCAGTTAGAACAGAGCTGCAGTGTTAAGGCAAGTTTACAATAAGAGATTCACTACCTCACTAAATAGCACTTTATAAAGTAGTATGTCTAACCGATTGTGTTTCGTTTGGGCCAGCTGACTGTGATATCGTTGGAATATCGTCCCCGGTTGCCGTGGTGCCGTCCTCTCTGCGCAGCGGTGCTTTCTTTGTGGACTGCATCTTGATTTGGGGAGGTTTGGAATTTGATGGTAAATTATTGGTAGATTGCAGCAGCTGAAAAGAGTGAGAGTCGATATAAGAGTCTGAAGAAGACTGTTTTAAAAAAAGTCGATATATTAAAAGTGTAATGTGTTGACGTTGGTTGTTGTCTTTAAAAAATCGAATAAAAGTCGATATATTTTAGCCTGATGCCATCACCAAGAGAAGATATCAGGTTGTTCATTCCATCATTGTAAAGGAGAAAGAATACACATATTATTCCTTAAATGTTCAGTTATGTGCCCTCACACTGCTTTACCTTAGTGATGGTTCCCACAGCCTTGGTGCGCCCCTCCCTGAACACCAGCCTCTGGTCGCAGTGCAGGTACTCGGGGGTCTTTATGAAGCGGAAATGGACCGAAGCCTTGTCCCCTGTCCGTAAGCAGTCTCTGTTCATAGACAAGATGGTGGCAGTCTGCCTTATGCTGCCACAGTGGACTGAGTGGACGGTAAGCAGAAGGAAAAGAAACGTTAACATTTTGTTTCTTATTAAAGAGTCACTTAACAGGAACTTATTGCTTAAGTGTTTCTTTGAGAGGGTGTTGAGAAATTGCCCTGTCCTCCTATATAATCAAATATTATTCTTGATGACATCTTTTTAAACAAGCAAAACGTAATACATATTCAATGTTGGCTACTAATCTTGAAGGCAATTAAATGCTCAGTAAATATTTTAAAGCTGCTTTGGAAACCCACAAAAACTCCCTGTCCCTTCTTCCACACCATTGTTACCCACCCATGGCCTGGTATCTGGGGGATATTGTAGTGGGATGATGCAGTACCAGGATCTCAGCCTCAAACTCCCAAGTGGCCTGTGGGCAGACCTTCGGGGAAACCATCACCATGCCCTTCCTGATGGTCGAACGCTTGATCTATACAAAGGGGTACGGATTACATAAGAACCAGACAGAGGAATAACATCAGAGGAATGTCAATTTCAATTCAAGACTGTTTTAATTATTTCTATAAAAACATTTCTTAAGATTGCATTTTTTTTGAGCTGGAAAAGATGGAAAAAATAATGGAAAAAATGATACATTTGACCATTCAGGTTTTATAAAACCTTTCCCCCAAAATATACAAATACACAGTTTGAACAGCCAGTTAATTAAACCAGACTTTAAAAAATGCACTCCCAGATTTCCCCCTTACCTTTTTGAGAGCGAATGAGGCAGTCTGGCCCCCTCTGACCTCCTTCACAGGCATTCTCTTGCGGTGGATTGATTTCACAGCGATGGGGATGAAGCTGCCTAAGGGGTCCGGCCCTAGTAGCATTGTATCATTCAGTCGTATGAGTCCACGTAAAGTAGTGCCAGAAACTACTGTTCCCACTCCCTGCGGCATAAAAACAAAACCGGTGTTAACATTAAAATGTGGTAACGGTTGTCATGTGTTAGGTTAAGTGATTTGTAACTGGGTAACTTACCGGTACAGAGTATGTGTCGTCTATCTGAAACTCAGCGGGCTGGTCGTCTCTGTAGGACGTCCTGGAGGAGAGCAGGTTGAGAAACATCTTGAGCAGGTCCATGTTCTCCCCGCTAACATTGGAGATCTGAAAGATTGGACACATCCTGGGGAGGACAACACAAACATGTGAGAAAAGTTCAACTGTTTCCCTCTTACTCTGAATCTGGCCAGGATAGTCTTTGTACCTCTCTGAACTGAAGTTTGAAGCAGTGACTATTACATCATCCTTGTTCTGTACGAGGACGGGTATCTTCCTACAGCCGGGCGACTTCAGTAGCCTCTGGAGCAGCTTCAGTGTCTCTGTTAGGAGCAAAGGATCACAACAAGTTTTTTTTAAGTGTTTTTAAAGTCGGGTACTGTACAACATTTTCATTCAAAGCTACGCCAATCGACACACACTCACTTAACTCATCCTATTGTTACATTGTGTTTTCAGATGTAAGAAAAAAACACATTTCAGAGTTAGGAAAGAGACTGACCTTGCAGTATGTTGGCCGGACACATGTCTATTTTGGTTACCACTACGAACACAGGCACATTCAGGGCTAAGGCCAGGCCCAGGTGCTCTTTGGTCATCCCTACGATACCTGCATTACTGCCCACCTGGCGAGGCAGGGAGAGAGAAAAATCTTTGTCTATATTTTAATAAAAGAAATAAGCAAAAAGGGTATTTGTTGTACAATGTAGACACTGAGACATTTTACATTTGGGTAAATTATAAATCTTGTAATGGTTTCATCCAAAGTTGACATTTTGAACTGCTTGTGTAAAGATAGAAACAAAACATGCAGGCAGATACTTTCATGTTTTTGTAAAGATGTGGCACACATTCATGATATTCACCAGCATAATAACATCATAATATTTCCTCCTTCCTGATCCCCCTTCTCACCATAAGCATGCAGAAGTCCGGCAGGTGTCCGGTCATCCCAAACACGGTGGTCTTGAGGTATTTCTCATGTCCGGCCAGGTCTATAAAGGTAATTACTTTGGAGGACTTCTCACAGATTTTAGTCCAGTCCAGGCTCCCACCATGACTATC